GGGGGGGTCTCTGGGTGTGGATGACAAAGAGTTGTCTCTCTGGCCAAAAAGCCCAAATGTCACCCAGAGAGAGAACCTAGACTCACCCATGGCCCAGGCCAAACTCTCATAGATCCTAGGGTAGGGGTGTCAAGCAGAGATCTGTAGAGGTTGAAGCAGAATGTGTCAACCAACATCCTCTGTGCTCATGTATTAAGTTCAAACTTGGTGTCCTGGGCAAGTTACAAGAAAGACTTGGAAAGTCAGCTCTGCAATGGGAGTATGTGTGTAGGAGTTACAGAAGGAGGTACTATAGGGATGAGTGCTATGAATGAACAGAGAATGCGGCCTCCCTAAAAGTAGCCCATTTAGGACAGGACCTTAGCACACTGGACAACCTGGGCCTGAGTTCAGGCTCTAGCTGGTTTCTAGAGCTCAAGGGAAATGCAGCTCTACCAACCCCTGCAGGTCCCTGGGTCAAATAACACTAACAAGACTGGAGATTCTACATTTATCTGCTGGTTGAGTAGGCGTGGGCTGCAAAGATCCTGAGCCTGTGCCCAGGAGACTGTGCACTTGGCTATGGAATCCCTGGCAGTGTGCAGGGCATTCAATAACCCCAGCAAATAACTGCCCCCCAACCCCCCTGTATCTCTTTCCACATGGGAGCATCCTCTGAGCTCTCACTCTTGAACCAGTATAGCCAGAGCTACCACACAGTCTTTTGACTTATACTCAGGCAGGCCAATGGGAGACAATACTTAAGGAGATCTGGGCTCTAGATGCAACTCAGGTTCTCGCTTGCTAGTGTGATCTCAGGCAAATCACTGCCCCTCATTGGGCCTGCTTCCTTTTCTATGAAAAGGGGAAAAGTTAACAGCCTAGCCTCCCTCTCTCAGAGAAGGCAAAGGAAGCCCTTGTCTGGTATAAAGTACTGAACTGATGCCAGGAACAGACTGTTGCAGTCATGTTTCTGAAGGGCACGGGTACCTATAGGTCCTTTAGAAGAATAGCAAATGAGAAAAATTTGGACCTGGTTCTGCCCTATCACTCAGTAATGTGTGGAAGGCAGGCAGATAGTAGACTCCTATAAATTCAATTTGGGAACTCTATGTGGGAAGGTATGGGGAGGTATCTAAACAGCAGTGGGTTGGTCTTCAGTGTCAGAAACTGGTAAGTGGAGCCAAACCGTATTTTAGTAAGCACTTGCTGCATGCCTCGCCTGGAATTCTGTCCTCAGTTTAAAAAAAAAAAAAAAAAAAAGGCTTTGAATGAGCCAGTATCATTACTGTCCCAAACTAAAAATGCCAGATAATTTCTTTTCTAGAATCAACGGCAGCAAAGAACCTGAGCTTGGTCCCTGAGGCTGTATGTCCTGCCTATGGCTGGAGCTCAGGACTATGTACTGTGGGAGCCTAAGATAAACTGTGACAGCCAAAAGAGAGAAAAATCCTTAAGACTGAAAAACACTGGTAATACTTTTCAAAGACAGCTCTCAATTAGGTGCAAATGGTCCACTCAAAAGAATGGGTAACTAAAAACTGACTGGATGGGAATGACTGCACATCCTATAAAGATTAATCAAGAACCTCAGCCACTTGCCCACCTCCCTCTCTGGGTCCCTTCAGTCGAGTTTCAATCCAAGAGAGGCAGGACCAGAGGTGAGAGGTAAGAAACAGTCTTCAACACTATTCTAAAATCCAATCAAAATTAGATTTGGAATATCATGCACCCTTTCCCTGAGCTAAGACTGGTTCTGATTCATATGCTATACTTTCACAGCCTGGAACTTCACTTATAGTGACTGCAGGTGGCATCAGAATTGTCTTTGATCATCTGGAATACGTTCCCCTCAGAGTGAAGGTTACAGAGGAGGAATGCTGAATATGCCAGGGGGCGCTGTAGTTCACCATTAATACTTATGAGCCTTTTAAGAATTCCTGTATGGTCAAAATGGTTTTGAGTAGATTAAACGCAGAATAATTTTCTAGCACTATAGAACTATTTTCTGGGTAGGGGAGAAAGAAAGAAAAAAAAAAGAAGAAAAAAGCAGGAAAAAAAAGAAGCTAACAACACATGCAATCTAAATAAACCTCACCCCCTTATTTTTCTTATACTATTTTTCTGCAGGTGCTTGTGGAATGGATAGACGTCAAAACACATACATTATGGACAAAGGCTTCAAAGGTAGAGTATCCAATCCTGACGTCCCATTAGAAGGGCTTAGGAAGATAAAGAGTGCAGATCTGAAATGGCCAGGAATTCTACCAGAGAAAAACTGTGCATCTCTTCCCCTACCCCCCAAAAAAGTTAAAAGACCACAAGACCTGGGGCTGCTGGGTAGCTTTGCCCAGGAAGAACAACTATAATGAATTCATCTTTCGATTTCAGTTGCACCTGCTTAGCAAATGCTGTGGGTTTTTTATAGATGCCAACTAAATGTCTTTGGAAATGTAGAATGTCATTATCCAACCAATTAGTACGAGTTAAATTGATTAAAAAATCTGAAATAAAGTCAATCTACCTGCCCCAGAGGCCTCCTGTCATTGCACTGGTAAGGAACGCCACCTTGCACCTGCTGGCTTTTTGGGGCACAAGGAATGAAAATGATACCCTAATAGATCTCTCCCTCAAGAGATCCCTGCCCCTAAGAACAGGGAAGCCAGGACCAATCCCAACACATGGGAACTGCAAGTCGGATCATTCTTCTAAGAAATCTACGGGTGAAGCCATGATGAAAGGTCAGGTCCTGCCCCTGGGCTTAGGTCCTAGGTTTAAATGACAGAATATGTGAAATAGGCAGCTTTGGAACTATGTTACTTATTACTGTCACTTATTAACTGTGACCTTAGAGGTCTCTAAGGTCCAGTTTCCTCATCTACAAGGTTGGGATAATTATGCCTGTCTTATTGCCTAACAAGGCTGTCATAAGCATTCAATAAAATCATAGATGGGAAGCATTTTTGCATATCATAAAGATTGTACCTTGTCTACGGCCATGCCGCCTTGAACAAGCCCAATCCCATCTGATCTTGGAAGCTAAGCAGGGTTGGGCTTGGTTAGTACTTGGATGGGAGACCACCTAGGAAGACCAGGCACTGTAAGTGTAAAAAATAAGGGATTGTAAGCTGACAAGGTCCTTGCAATCTGTGAGGTCAATGAAGGCTTGCCTTGCCTAAAAAACAACAACAACAACAACAACAAAAGATTGTACCAATGCGATAGGGCTATCCTTTTGTCTGAGGTCCATTTAAGAGTCTCAGCCAAACCGAGTAAGAGATGACTGACAGCAGAGATCTCAATTGATATCCTAAACCTAGCTGTGTACCAGAATCACCTGGAAAGCTTGCTGAAAAATACAGATGTTCACACCCCATCACCCCAAGATTCTGATGCAGATCTAGATTGGGGCCATGGAATCTGCATTTGCACAGAGTACCTCAGGGTATCCTTATATACAGCATATCACCCAACTAACACTTAGAAACCACTGGTCTAGACTGACCCAGATTTTTCCTGGATTACTGCTCTGATCTTTCAGACACGACCGTTTCCTAACGAAGGAGAGCTAGTTTTCCACAGCCCTTAGTGGGGTGGCTGTTAGAAATGGGGTGGACTAGGGGTGGGTAGCGGTGTTAAGAATTGTAAGAATTGTGTTCTGAGCGAGAGAACAAGGGCAAGTCTCTATCAGCACGTTAGGATGTGTACCACTCAAGAGAATGACCTGAGACAAGAGGTCACCCTAGGCTTCTAGGCAGCCAAAGGACACTATTCCCTTGGGAACATCATTCTGGCAAGTTTCTGTGAGTTTTGACTTAAACCATCCAAATGAAAGCAAGCACCATTAGAGTAGGTAAGGCTAAATACAGAAAAGACAGCTCTACTCTTTAGCATTGACTTGGGACCTCAGTTTCTGTCTCAAAAGAGGCATGGGGATTTGGCAGAAATATTAAGAAAAATATTCCAGCTCTGAGAATATGCACAACTCAATTGTAAATAAGCTCAGACAGGCCTAGACACCTCAATAAATGAGAACACAATTTTCCTATGCACTTCGTGGTCCTGCACATTGTGATTAGAGTAGCTACTTTCAGACTCACAACCATAAATGTAACACAAAGCTAAGGAGAGCATTGTCTCTACCTTAGTGTCATTCATTCCTCTTTTGTGGAATTATACATTTGAGCCTTTTTGAATGCAGATTTTGTTTCATGACTCTGTAAATAATTAAAGAATAACTGTAGCCAATCAGAAAAGAAGGCTGTATAGGCAAATGTACCAACAGGTGTTGGGAACCAACACATCAGAACAAGAGAATTCAAAAAGAGGGAAAATGGAATGTCACATTTCAAAACTTTACAGAAGTACTTATCAAAGACATGGAATAAACTCCAATAACCAGCTGAGCTCCCAAATAAACACTTAATAAACTAGTTTGTACAAGGAATGAGATTACTTCCTAAAACTACTGGGCCAGTCAGAACCACTAAGAGTGGAGAGTCTAAGTGTTCTCTGAACTTAATAGGAAAGAGCCGTGGTCTGGGAGTTAAAAGATTTGGGTTCTAGTCCTAGTTTTCTTGCTGTGTGGTGCTAAGTGTTTTCTGGGATCCAGATTTCTTCCTCTACTGGGACAGGGTTGTACTAGGACCGCCTAAAGCCCTTTCCAGCTTTGACATGCTAAAAGTCATTAAGTCGATGCTCCCTTTCAGCTGTTACTTACTGAAGACTTCCACTCACTGTCATCCCAGAGGTCATGTGAGACTACTCGCACTGCTGTGCTAACCTCATTTTAGCTCTTCATCATTTGTCTCCCTTTCTCCCCCTCAGTACAATGATCCTGCAACAAACTGCCTCATGTTCAATCTCTTATCAGGCATTCCTAACTGCTGTAGAAGAAATTGTCCTCAGACCTCTCCATCACCTTTATGATCCTGAAATCCTGGGTCCCACTGTTGCTTCCACTCTCCCCACCTGTATGCTCCTTGGAAATCTAACCAAATCTCTTCTCGTAGTCACCTTAGGTTCCAAGGTAGTTAGGAGCCCATTGACAGTCTGAAAACTTTTTTAGCTAATGTGGTTCTCTTTTTGACCCCGAGATCTCCCCTTCTCCCCCATATCTTTGTCCCCCAGTCAAGAGAAGGATACTAACTTAGGGCCCAGGAAAAGGCAATGTAGCCTTCTAACAGTAGTAGTCAGCTAAGAAGTAAGCAATGGTCAGTGCCTAGGTTTTCCTCAACAGTGAAATACTGGCCTTAACTAGATGTTAGTGTGAACCCATAGGCCTGGGTAAGTTCAGATCCCACACACAAGGTGGCCTTGGAAAGTCACTTCCCCCTCTGCATTTGCTGCTTCCTTTTATAAAATGAAGATGTTTACATTAGCTCGTTTCAGAGGCCCCTTCTGATAGTATATGGCTATGTCATTTTGGGGAGATAGCAACTAGTTGAGAGCCAATGTCAGGGCATTATAGGGCTAACTAAGCCTTTAGTATTAATGCTAATTACAGATCAAGGAGGAGTGACTCACCAGAGCTTGGGTAGCCTTGGTTGATGCTTCCCCTTTCCTTGCACAATGCCCCAGTGCAGGGACTGGCGTGGGGGTAGGGTGGAGCTCTAAAAGAATGAGGAAGTATCTTAGAGCAGCTGGTAATTCTTCACCCTTACCCTGCCCTAGTCCCACTTCTCCCTCCTTCTGGGCAAGCAGGTAGATGACTAAGCTGGAGAAAAGTGTAGCTTCCTGAAGTAGTTTTCCAGCCTGCCTACCCCTTCCCCAACTTGCAGTTCCCAGAAATAAGTCCAGATTATTCCATAATTCAACTTTCTCCCCCCAACACCTCAACACTCCTCCATCCTTTGTGTTTACCACTGGCTCCTTTGCAGATGATACAGCTTCTCCCTGACACTAATCCCCTCCCCCACAATACCAACTTCTCTTTTATCCATTTAGGTGCATTCCCTGCTGCAGAACAAAAAAATCCCCAAAAGTTGGAAGCAGCACTGACTTTTCTGGTGGAAATAAGGAGAGACACTGTTGGCTGGCTGAGGCTCTTTTAGGCATTGAGTTAAAGTCAAGGCTCTCCCTCTGCCATAACTGAATCAATCAGTCACAGGATATCTACAAAAAGCTTAGAGTTTCTGCCTCTCAGCGGGGCCTCAGATAAAAGGTGTTCCTAGTTGAAGGTAAGGTGAAGCTGCTGTAGTTTACACTTAGGGATGGAGAAGAGCACAGGGTAACAAGATGTGAGGGAAAAATACCTTAATTGGGTATCAGAAGACAGGGGTTGAGTCTTAACTACTTACTAATATTAAGCAAACTTTAGGAGCTTCAGTTTCCTCATTTCTAAAGTATTAATACTAGTCCTTCCTGCCCAGCCTCCTTCAGAGATGTAACAACTTTCAAAAAACCTAACCAGAAAGACTAGCTATATGTGCCAAAGTGAGCTATCGCTATTCATTAAGTTTCAGAAAATATACAGCTGAGGCAGCTGCCAAAGTCAAAGGATGTAGCTGGGAGGAGAGGAGGTGAAAGTGTTAGGACTTTTCAGGAGATAGCCCTTCTTCAAGCAATTCCAGGCCTCAGCTTCAAAACAAGCAGCTGAGTCATACTGCTCCCTGGCTAGTAAGTTCAGAACACCCAAACTGGGACCAACAAGCCATTGCTACTAAGGTTCCTGGACTTATCCCCACTCCTGTGTTCGAATAAACAAAGTACTTACTAGAGGCAAATCTACTTCACTCAGGGCAGGCTGTGACCCAAGACTCGCAACCACCTTTCCCCCATGTGAGCCTCACCAGCAGCTGGGGTGATCCAGCCTCCCTTTAGTCCTTGCTGGGGCTGCCTGGGACTGCTCATTGTGTAGCAAGAATATTATCTCCTCTCCAGGGTTTCTACTAGAAAGAGGCGACAATCTAAGAGGGGACCAAGCCAACGTCCCGCTCCACTGTGGACTAAGTTGTGATGGAAAAGTATTCTGGCCCTGGTTCTAGAGCTTGCTTTGCTACTGATGAGCAGTGTGGCTCTGGGGAAGTCACTTTCCCACTTTAAGCCTCCATTTCCTAAGCAATAAAGGGAGGAGGGAATAATAGTATTACTCTACCTACACCGGAGGCTATTATAAAGATTTGAAGGAACTAATGAGTCAAAGTACTTTTGTACAAGATTTGAAGAAATTTTACCTGCTGAAACAGACATCAATAACTTGACACTAATGGAAAAGTAAATCCCCTCCCAACCAGTCACCTGTTAGAGAAAAGACTACTCGTAACACAAATACACCTCAACTACTTTAGCCACATGGAGTGTTCTGTTCTGCTCTCATTGGACCAAGGTACATCTAGTCACCCTTTGAGTTATCACTTTCACTTTTTCACATTTCCATTAATCTCACAAGTTAGAAGCAGAAAGCATAAATTCGTGGTGGTTCTAGTGAAAGATCATCCAATAATAGCACCTTCTGCTACTCCTCGTAGAAATTTAGAGCTGAGAGTCGACTGAGATCACTCTTGACTATCAAGTCCCTGCAACTCAAGTGTTGTTTCTAGACCCCCTGGCAGGCACGGCCTCACAGACAGATGAGGGCCAGAGCTGCCAGATTACACAAAGAGTAAGAGTAATAAAGTCTTGACTCACTTGGGACAATCTACAGGAGGCAGTGATCTTCTCCAAAAGAGGAATGATGTAGAGTTGAAGGGAGGGCTATCCTTTCAGTCACTTGTGCCTCTCAGCCACAAGAGGACTTTCTCCAGTGGAGCTACGGTTACCTGGCTTAATATTTTTAGAAACTAGCTTGCATCCTTTTGTACCCTAACATACTCTGAAGTTTTGGGGATGAACATGCCTGAGAGGTGGCAGGAGAGGAAGCGTGCGTTCTCCTAGTATCAGAAAAGTTACTACTAAAGAGATTTTGTTTAACATTCACGAGAACTGGGGTAAATGACCCAAGAGGATACACTGCAGGCTTGCTAGAAAACAGGAATTTTCTGAAGGCTAGCTTGAGATCCAGGTGCTTCTGACAGCTGTTACACTTCTGTATGCCACCACCTCTGATCACGAGCTTCCCAAGAGCAGGGATGCAGCTAGTTTGTTGCTGTAAGGTTGCCAAATTGCTTACACCTGTGCCAACCCACCCCCGCCCCCCCAACCTCTTCTTCTGAACTTAAGCTTCTTAGTCATCAAAAAGAATTTAGAAGGATGATATCGCAGAAAACACACAGGCCAAGGAGTCCCAAGGCATGGATTAAAGTCTTGGCACTGCTATACTGAGCTGTGTGACCTTAACCACTTCATCTCTTCATCTCTCTGGGCCTTCATCCTATAAAATGCAAACTATCAACTATCCTTTCAGGATTTCATAAAAATTAAATTGCTGTAAAAGCCATTATAAATATCTTGAAATAGTCTTTCTGGTGCTATACCTGACTACTAAAAACAAAAATGTTCCTATCCCTCCAAAAACAAATTTCTTTAGAAAAAGAACTCTGCCTACCCATTAAAGTACTCTACATTACTTAAGAAGTAAATCTTCAACTACCACAGGCTTTTACAGCTCCAGGATCATGAAAGCGCATGAATTTGACTGCAGTCTGCTTCTGGTATTTAAATTAAGTCTTATGTCCTTGCTTGTCCTAAGAAATTTCTCTTGCCTTGCAGATTACATGAAAGAATCCGTGTGCAGTTCTAGCACTTGTTCCCTGAATAGCAGTGAAAACCCTTACGCCACAATTAAGGACCCACCCATCCTCACCTGCAAGCTTCCAGAAAGCAGCTATGTAGAAATGAAGTCACCTGTGCACAGAGGGTCTCCGTACACAGATGTGCCATCCTTGTCGACATCTAATAAAAATATATATGAAGTTGGTAGGTGTCTCAAATAAGTAACTTAGTAAGATCAGGGCAAAAGTGCAGCATCTAAAGTAAAAGCAATCCCTTTCTCCACTTACCGTCTTGAAAACACACCTTTTATTCCTTTTTAAGGAATCGAGGTGAACTTTCTTCCCCAGGACTGCCCTCCTCCCTCATGCAGGAAATCAAATTCTTGTGCCAACTCTGCTTTAAAAAAACAAACAAACAAACAAACAAATCCACCAGGACTAATATGAAGCAGAAATACTGGGCGTGGGTACACACACACTTCAATTGATATAAATCCCAGTTTAAAAAAGAAAACAATTAACAGACATTAACTTTCTAAGTCGCCTTCTCCTACTTTCTCCTAGTTTGTCCCTTGGCTCACTGATAAGACCCCCTACACCTCTGGGATATTCTAAATCTCTTGGTTTTGACCAGAGCTTGGGATTCTCACAGCACACTCCCATTTTTCATCTCTTGAGCATGTCTCAGTCCTAACCCTCACATATTTATCACAGATTTACAAATCCCTGGCTTCTTTCCCCACCCAGTTAAATAGAATTCTCTTTCCCACAACAAAGCAACCAAAGCTAATCTGTTCTCTGAACTCATTTTTCACTATATTCCTTAGAGCCCACAGTCAGTGTGGTCCAAGAAGGTCGCGGTCATAACTCCAGCTATATCCAGAATCCATACGACCTACCTAGGAACAGCCATATTCCTGGTCATTATGACCTCCTCCCAGTAAGACAGAGCCCTGCCAATGGGCCCTCCCAGGACAATCAGTCTTAAGAGGGATAAGCTTCTCTCTTGCAATGTGCTCTGCTGAATATTCTCTGACTCTGAAAGAAGACAATCCCTTGACTTGAAATAATGGTACAGACTGACTCCAGCTGCGTGTTAGTTATTACTTTCACCTGGAACTAAAGAAGAGCTTCCAAATGAGACTGGGGTAATTGTTCAAAAGGTCTGTTCACAAAGGCAAATCCTATCACCCATCCACCCCCAATCCCAAATGCCCTGGATTATACAATCTTTTAAAACATTTAGGATACAGCTACTTATTATCAACATGAGCTAAATATAGCTAAATATATTTATTTATATACTTAATTATCTAAAACATAATGCTTAGAAAGCATGTAGAATAGGTTTTACAAACCTTCCTAAGAGGGAAATGGGGACTGGGGAGGGAGGAGGATTACTTTAAAACACCTGAAATGTATTATGTACTTTTGGTTGCTGTAACCATCAACATCCGTTTGATTACCTAAGATAATTAATGCATAGACACAAACTGTGCTAATATTGTTCATCAAGTACCTGTACATATATGTCTGGTCCATCAAATTACACCAACCAAGATTACAGAGTTTAGTATATAGTCTAATGCTGACAACTTCAATTTTTTAAAATAACTTTAATAAATACAAATTAATTTTGCCTCTTCTGCCCCTGCTGGTAGTAGGAGGGGAAGAAAAGTTTCCAAAGTGTAGCAGCCTCTTTCAGTCTACCACAGTATTTCTAGGACAGCTTTACCCAATCTTGCCAATTCGAAGTTCCAGAACACTGCAAGTCAGTCCTGGCCTTGTCATATCTCATTAGTGTACCTAACACCTGAGTCACTCCATGGGAAAGAAGATTCTGAGATGCTGCTTTAAGCAAGCAGGCAGTCAGACTGTTAAGAATTAAGTGTCTCTAAAAATGGCTATTTGGCCTTCTAAATTTATTTGGTTGGCATTCCTTGACTTAGAATACTTGCTTTCAAGCATTTTTTTTTTCCATAAATCTTGAGCTTGATGTACTATGGAACCTAAAAGTGTAGATGAAATTAGACAAAAGTGAACATAGCAAGTTTAAATTAAAGTACATTATACTTTTTGATGGAACTAAATTGAAATGATGAAAGAATGGACTGTAATTGGCTGCTGTAACATGATGTAAAAACCTTATAGTAAACAGCACATAAGGATATGAAGTGCTTGTACCTCCTACCTTAAAACCACTACCTACTGAGATAATCAAAACTGAATTACAATGAGCTAATGCTCCAGATCCCACTATTCAGATGTGTCTATGCCTTCCAATACTAATGAACACAGGTAAACTCAGGCTCAGATGAGTCAAAGATGGAGCCAACTCCCAAGCCTGAAAGAGGACCTTCTCACAAGAATTAAAAGACCAAAAGGGCAAACCGAGGAAACTGCTGGCCACCTACACACCACTCCATTCTGTTAACAGTCCAACCAGTAAAAATACTTCCAAAAAAGTATATAGAAGAGGAACTAAATGACTACAAAGCTGGAATAGCTGCTACAGGAATGTGGGAGTTCTGAAGCCCTTGATACAAATTGGAAGTGTGCCATGGAACCCATTATTTGGGCAATAACCAGCAAAAGCAAGAAAAAAAAAGGAGTAAACACCCCCTTCCCCACTTCACTCAAGGCTTAAGCAAATGTTACTGTTAGGGAAAAAATATCTAATACTTACATGAATGCTGCATGTGTGCATGGGAGCAAGTGATCAGCAATAGCAAATTTACTTTCCAAAAAAAGCCTTATTAAAATATAAATACTAGAAAATTACTTTGTAGACCCAAGTAAATATTTCTCATACATACGGAGAAAGAAATATAGATGAGAGACTTACCTCAGTACTTCAGGGCAGCAAGTGCTCAATTATCTTTGTGAAGCAAGGATCAAGAATCGTGGCGAAGTCAGATCAGCAAAGAGAAACTTCATCTCACTCCCAGGTTTTATCTTCTCCCCTTACCCTGCATGTACAGTAATGGCTGCCTGGCGAACTGCAAACAAGCAGCATCACTCAAGTTTCAAGTTTCACCTCTTTTTTGCCGACTATCTTCTGGGCAAAATTGAGCAAGAGGTGGCATGGTGGAATTGCTAAAGCACTGGGTCAAGAGATCGAGTATTGCTTGCCCTATCTGGGCTTTTCCCCTTCCATGTGTAAAAAAAAAGGGGGCGGGGGAGAAGCACAGAGGGATAAGGGAACACTAAACCTTTCAGCTCTAGCATTCTGATTTTTAAAGAAATGTATCACAAATCAAATCAGACAACACAGGAAAAGGGAAAGACAGAGGGTGTGATTAATCTCTGGTGACAACAGCTGTCTTCACATATCTAAGAATTACTGGTAAACAACATTTCAATCTTACAGAGCAACTGTTAGGAACTTGTCTAGCACCGTCACAAATAGGGTCATGGTCAACCTAAACATGGGCACTGTGCAGTTTATTGGCAACTTGGAAAGATCTGTTCAATTATTTTACAGAAACTAAGTTTTCGCAACAAGTGATGTGCATATAATGCGAATGAATAAAGGAAATAATTATTGTACAATAGCATAAGTGAGACTATGAAATGGCAATACTTTTTTAAACAATCCAGATTTGTAATATATTTATTCACTGTGCAGAGGGATCATACCTTGTACAAAATAAAATTAATTTCTCAAACTAATTTATAGGAGTCCCTACTGTTGTGCTGCAAACCAAAAATGTGTCTATAATCTATACCTTAGGTGTAAGGGTAGAACTAATTTATGTTTTGTGTGGTCACTTTAAACAGCCGGAGAAGTGAAAATTATCCCAATTGATGCTTAAAGTTAAAAAGTTCTATCAAATTTATAACAAGAGTCTCTTCCTTTAAAGTAGTGAATGGGAGCAACATATTCGTAATTCATGTCCAAAAATTATTGAAAAAATCTCATCAACTTCAGTATAGAGAATTTTCCTGCTTTCACAAAGATTTGGACTGAAAGACAACTATTACAGCTTGTGCTCAGCTCCAGAGACACAAATAAGTCTATGGAATGAAATAAAGGCAAGTATATGGGCCACCTACTATACATAAGTACAACGAATAGTTTTCCACTAGTAGAAGTAGTCACCTATGATGGAAGTAATCAAACAGTACTCTGAGTGAGTCTGTTTTAGGACCTTTTAAAACATAACCTTGTGACCTAACTAGTAAAGCAGCAGCAGGATTGTTATAAAATACAGATGCTAAAAAATAGCTTATTGAATGCATTCAATGGTATAAGTTTAAAATTTCTCCTTCATACTTTCAAAGGCTTGTACATAATCCTCATACTTAAGTCAAATTAAAACCTTTCAACTTGTCAGTTCACAAGGCTTAGTGGATAATCAGAAGCTATTCCCATTTAATAAAATGGTTAAACAAGAATATATTTTTACTAGTTAGAGATTATTAAGACTCATTCAGAAAAGATCCTCCTACCAACAATCTCAAGGGCTGGAGCTTGACATCATGAAAGATAAAACACAATCAAGAGTTTTATAAAGCTAAAAAGCATATTTACTGAGAATAGTGTAAGATTATAACTTATAAAGGCTCAGAATACTACCCAATATCACAAATGAAAACTAAAGGCTGCAGGTTGTGTACACAGTACTGAATACTCAAGAATGACACATTCTATTAGTCATTCATCTAACCAGGGGAAAGAAGAGGCCCATTTAATCAGTATGGGGCAAAAGAGAAGAGAAATCTTTCTTAGAAAAAGTGGACGGATACATAGGGATTCATTATACTATTATTTATAATTTTGTATATTTCTTAGTTATAACTTTTATAATTATTAATGAAAAAAATTTTAATCTGTATGATAATTCTCAGACTATAGCTCCTCAGGCTAAACTTGAATAAACCCTAGATTTAGATGATTCTTCTTTATCACTCTGACATGGGGTTGTAGTGGGGGACAGATAGTAGGAATATAAATGTGAACAAAGCACATTCCTTGTCCTTGTGGATCTTACAATGTAGCAATTTCAAAAGGACAGGAATAAATGGAGGGCCCTGGTAATTAGTGGAGTGCTGATTATACAGTTTCTTCCATGACTTGCAGAGCTAGAAAGACTCTGAACAGTGGTCCAATCCAAACCCACAGAAGGCAGCAAGCTCTGGTCTATAGCTACAGCTGTAAGATTTTTCCCCTCATTCTAGCTTCTGCCTCCCAAGACATTGTCCAGCCCAGCAGATGGCCCACCACAGAGTCTTAGGTAAGAGAAAACATGTGGGCCTGAGATCTTAGAAAGTACTGTTATTTAGGTATCCACTTAAATGTAACTGAGAATCCTGACATCCTCCTCCAGACCTGGTTTCATACCAAAGATAGCCTTACAGAAAGTGTTGCTTCCTGGGGATTCCCAGACTGTCCTGTTTCAGGCATGACCTTTTATAATATTCTTAGGTCCATATGATGAAATGCTTTGGCATAAAGGCTAGTACAATAGTCAGGAACTTCTTAAAGATAAGAAACCATACCACTTTCCTAGAGAGATCTGAGAAAATGGTATGCTGAGAGACTGGAAATTTTCAATAAGGGAATGGGTGCTAAAAGCAGTAATTTATTCATTGGGATGGAGATAATAAGATCTGAGATTTTGTATGTTAGGCAAAGTTCCACTGACTCAAACATAGGAAAGGAATCTTGTTGGCTACTAATTTTCACTATCATCACTGGTACTGGTAACACAGTAGTCACAGCTAATATACATGACATCTGTGCCAGAACCTACCCATTTTATGCTTAATAATGTTAAATAATGGAATTCAAATGTTTAGACTACTAATAGGTTACTATGCTAACAGCCAAATAATGCCATTAACATCATGTGTGCACACGGTTCTGTTGGACAGCTAGCTCTGTGAACTGATCTACCTTTTTGTAGATTCCTATTATAATAAAAAAATTAAACGCAAAATGTTTTTAAAAGTTCTCTCCTAGACATGAATATATTTTAAAGTATATATTAAAAGCCAGCAGAATTTGAACAGTTAAGAGTCAAAAATCAAGCGGTTCTTAATTTACAGTTGACATAGCAGCCAATCAAGCACTCCTCTCCCCTTAACACATACGGTACTTTGATGCATATTGTTGAAATTGACAGTCATTTTGCAAATGTTCTAAAAGCGTTCATCTTATTTAATGGAGTTAACATGGAAATGAGGGTAACATCCTAATTAAGTTATAAGACCAAAAACATCTTGCAAAGTATACACTTGATTTTTACTTATCTATTAAATTTAGAGTTAGAATGTATAATTTGGCTCTAGTACCTGAAGAGAGAGTTCATTCACAGAATTATTGAATTAGGGCTGGGATGAACCCAGAAATGATCTAATCCAGTCCCAGGTCCCCTCATTAACTGGAAGAAGGTTAAGGCTCAGATAAAATGACTACAAGAACTGTGACTAGAATCCAAGTCTTTGTCACTCAGTCCAGTGCTCTATTGTACCTAACACTTTCTACCTTTTAACTCAGAGAGTTTGCATATTTTCTGATATATGCCTAGTATAAAGGTCCTTTCAAATATTTTTTCTCTCTCTTCCAATTCAGTTTTCAGAGAAATAGATATTTCAATTAAAATTATCAGACTAATGGTCTCCCTTACATAAATTACACTGACCATATATTTTGTATTACTTTATTATTACCGCCAGCCTCCTACAGTTTGGGGAAACACAACCGTTCTTTAAAACTGGACAATGACAACTCTAGTCTTTTTGGTATATTGTATAGGTGAATGGAAAAAGTGAACTGTAAAATCCCAGAAAAGGGTATGGCACCAGCACAGCACCAACCAGAAGGATAAAAGTTAGTCCTTTTCCTTTTAGCCCTAGTCTGGCTGTTATGTTAACCGATTAAATGATGTGGTGGAAGAAGACCCTTTCATGGTCTTTGTTCACTTTTTTTTCACTCAAGGAATAGATGTCATGCACAGTCTTTATACAAAATTCGTATTTTGTTTTGAAATCTTCTGCAAACTTATGATATTTGTGAAAAATCAAATAACCAATTTCCATTTTTCTCCTCTGTTTTAAAAAAAAAAAAAAGCTTGATAAATTGAAACCTAACAGGTTTTAGGATGAGTTTTTAAATATCCACCCAGTCTTTGAATTATTCCGCTTCTGATGTTGGTCAAAATTATCTCAGTAGTAGTTTCATTTCTTTAAGATAGATGGAAGAGATTATCACAATAGCTCCACCACTGAGAGCATTTGTATTTTGTAAATACAAGTCACTAAAGACAAAAATCATGATATTCATTTTCCCAATAATGAAATAAATATGACTAGCTCTGACAGGCAATCCAAACTCTTAAGAAGTCTAACTTTTCTGCAGAACCCTGGAGAACTTAAAACACCTCTTACATAAGTAACCAGCTAGCACCCCTTCTTAGAATTTAGTATGCTCAATGCAATGGCTAAATTAGAAAACTTACCTTACAGAGTAACAACTACTATTAGAGAAAAATCATAGATAGCACATGAGAACATTTAAATACAAGTTTAAACCAAGTCAAAATGGCTGAATTTTCAGGATAATAGGTTAAAAAAAAAAATTTAAAGTTAAAATAACTGAAAAGCATGGTCAAGCAGCAAAATACTTCTATAAACTGCCTTGAGCCCTAAGTTGTTGTATTTTAAAACTTGAAGTTTCTTACTTGAGACAGTTTGTCTCCTGAGATCCTATTCAGAATGAAGACACTTGTTGAAATGCAATCAAAGCCATGTTCTAGTACTGCTTCCAGTTTCTTGAAATGCTCCCAAGATCCAACCATGCCCAAGGCAACATTAAGTCTATACTTTGTAAAAATTCACTTTATTCATTTTCAATTCACTACCTAGTTTCTTCTCTTAAATGATTTTGTAAAAAAAAAAAAAAAAAACTTATTACGGATTTTCAGTAAAATAAGTAGTGATGCAGCCTCTTCCTGGGTCTGGTGACACTTATGTATGAAAGTACTGAGATTAATTATTTCCCTTATATTTTTGGTTAATACTTTTCCCAAAAAAAGCATAACTGAGCTACATGTCTAAAATCAAAGGTGAATTCACACAATGGTGCCTCCAATTCAATGTTTACTCTGTAATGCAAGGACTTATATGCTCTCATTCAACAGAATCAAATAGTCCATGGCTGCATCCAAAGCATGCAAAGGGAAAATGTAATCTGACAACATAAAGAATAGTCCCCCTATAACTGTTTATTAGAATGTGAATATATTCAAAATTAAAAACTAAAAAAAAAGTTGTTACAGAGCATGCATAAAATACAAAGTAGCAGTTTACAAATAGATAATAGTTCTTCATACCAATACACTAAATGAAATGACTACAGAAGGAAACCAAAATGACCTACTACAGCAATGCCTTCAGTGTACCCCACACGTCATGAGCATTGCTAAAGATAAAAGATTAACTATAAAACATAGTAATCTATGCAAGCCAACACACATATATATTTTGGGGATATTCCACCATCCTGAATAGTATCACTTCAGTTGACATAACTTTCAGAATACTGCAGAGTAAGTGCTTAATATTATCCACAAGAAATTAAAACTAAATATTAGTAAGCACACTTCTGAATGAGAAAAACTAGTTGCTCCATTGATTTCAATAATGTAGTGGAAGAAAACTATTTCAGGTCTGTATAAAGGTCTAAATGCATTCTATTTAAACTCAGGGTACTATTTCATCTATTTCATCTTAAGTACTAAAAGAACACATGCCTTTAAGTGGTACCACTTGAGCAGATATTAAACTCTCACTTAATTCTGTTGACATACTGAAACCAGATATTTAATTGGACTATATTCCATAATATACTGCAAAACTCAAAAATCAGCATCATTAAATAACTATCCATGTCTGCTGGTGTATATGGTGATAAAACTAGGTTCCATTTCATTTAGTCGGAGGTTTTAAGACAAAATTAACACTTCACAATTTGATACTAAGAGCATTAAACCAGTTATTGCCTGAGCAATAAAATGCCACATAATCGACTGCTGGGAAATTAGATAAATTAAATGACTTATCATTAACTTGCACTGCCTGATCATTGCCAGAGGCAACTCAGATGGAATTCCACCAGTCTCTCTAGTTTCCAGACCGCTAGGCAGCACTGTTTAACATATGGCCACATAACCATACCACAACTGAAACCATGATAATCTTTGTGTTTATTAATATAATTCTTGTCCAGAAAAAAGTGCCCCCATCTCGAATCAATTTTGAGGCTTACAAAAATCAAAAAACAAAATTTACTGAACTACATAATCCTATTAAGGCATTTTAGATATTTACTTCCAGAATAATGGAAAACTTTCAAGCTCTCAAAATCCTGCTATTTATAGGGCAATTCTTAGATTTATGGACATAACTGCACTGAGAGAAGAGTGTATGAATTATAAGCTGCTCATTATACACTACTCTGTGGCAAAATGATAGCTTATTTCTAAAGTCTTCTTAGTTTGATTTGATGAAGACCAAATGGTCTGAGCTTCAAGTGATCAAGTTCTATTATGTCCTACAGTGACAGGCTCCATGATGAAAGTAAACAATAATTGAGGAATTCAAACATTCAGTTTATTAAACTAAGGCTAATGAAGCCATAGCATGAAAAAGAGCTGCAGTCATTTGGGACAAGTGGATAATTTTATAAAGCTAAAATCAAAAGACTTAAGACATGGAAAATTCATAATATGAGGAAGTAATAAAACACAAAAGTGACCACAAGAATTACAAATATATTTAAATCTCAGACCTGGGAAATGGACTATACACAGCCTTCTAGGGGAGAAGAGAAACACCTTATATGTTCTGACAGCATTGCACCTTTGGCTTGTTCTCAGTGGTTGGTGGAACATGAATAGGAACCACATTGTTGCTTGGAGACATGTCATTTTCACGTCTGTCTGACATCTGCTTCTGGGAAACAATGCGGTATATCTCTGAATAGGGAAAAAAAAAACAGCAATACTCAGTGTGAAGAGACCCATCGATAGCGACATAAAAAATACATAGAGGTAGAAGATATTTTGCAGGAAAAACTTCAAATAACTGCACAGAGAATGTATAAATTTAAAGTTTTATTTTCAAACAGCAATTGGTTAGAGTTAACCCATTATTTTAACAACTTTTCTTAGGGTAAAAAGAGAAACAAAGGTTTTCCATTTCAGAGGAAAGACTGAGCAGTCAATTAAATAAATCTTGGTTTAAAGAGATTATATAGTTTATGGGCTTAGATCTAAATTAAACTATGAGAGTATTTTCATTCTACCCTTCCCAAGAAAACTTACATATACTGACACTGTTACCACAGAAAAGTAAAAATAAATCCGCACTATCAGGCACATTAGGTATTTTTCTTGGCTGT